ACCCAAAAAAACAACAAAAAAAAAACAAACAAAAACCCAAAACCCAACCAACCAACCAAAAAAAAAAACCAACCAAAAAAAACCACCTCATTTTTAACCCTGATCTGGTTTACTACCTGACCCTGTGAGTAATTTTTCTGTCACAACTGAAGAGTCTGAACAGGCAAGGGAATACTAAGGAGCTTTACCAGTTCATTCAGACAGAAAGGAGCTGTACAACAAAGTCTTATGAAAGGAGGGCATGAAACCAAAGTAACACTCACTACACATTCACTGCATGTTTAGACTCTGACAACACATAGTCCCATCCTGTCAAGACATTAACCCAAATGGCTAATCCTTACCTGTGGCACTACCTAAAAAAGACAACAATCTGAGGAATTTCAGGATGCAGCACATGCAACAGAGGGTATGCAGATGGCCCAGCAGGATATGCAGTGCCATTAGGGAAATAGCACTCATAAAAAGGGGGACACTAGATAAGAGGAAATAGGTACTAGTTTTGCAGAGCTGATTCCCAAAAGAGAAATTACCAAGACAGTCAAACAAAAAATTTGAAGTAAGGTATGAAGTCAACAAGCCCAGGGGTGATGGAAAAGAAGAGAACAAGATAAGCTTCTAAACAAGAAGTACTTTAGGATAAAAAGAAAAGGGGGAAAAGGAACATGAAGTGAAGCAAGTGAAGTGACAAAGATTGCTTGGGTTATCCCTGTGTGTAGTAGCCCTTTGCCTGATCAATACATCTTGCAAAAGGACAGCAACTGTATTTCTTTCTCTGACCATTCAGAACAATTGGTCCATAAAGTGGGCAGAACCAGCCCCTTCCACATGGGGACAAAAGGAAAATAAAAGTCTCACAGCAGTGCTTAACAAGCATTTAGAGGAGGCAGAAAACCTGAGGAACTGAGTGATACATTCTGTGGACAGCTGATGCAAAAAACAGACAGGGTTGAGTTCAAGGAAGCAAAAATATGAAGGGACAAGCCTCCAAGGATTGTTGTCCTAGCATTGTCCCTTCCCCAGACATTATAGGAGTCAACAGGCACTGTTCAATGGTGCTCTCCAAAGGGAGCATAGCAAGACCTGTTGCCTGTCCTGGTTGCCTTCCTGGCAAGTCTCTTCATCTGGATATTTGGGCTGGACTGGAAGAGCTTTGGGGTTGAAGCCCTCTGATCTGTTGAACTTCAGACAGGGAGATTTTAAATAAATCCTGAAGTCTGTAACCCAGCATGCTTATTGTGCCCATAAGCCAGGCTCTCCCATCTCTAAATGGATATGTGCCAAGGGTCTGCTTTACAGTTCATAGGATCAGATTGCCATGAAATTAGATCCCAATAGAAGCAGCCCACGAAGATTCCTCTGCTTCTGATGATAGGATGCCTTGGCACCTTGTACCTGCATGGGGCAGGTAAGTGAGAAAAACAAGGGTGTGAAATATGAATACAAACAGATATTTCCAGACTGTGGTTTCAAATCAGATAGATGTTATTCAGCTGCAGATGAGGAGCTGAGGAAGCTGGCAAAGCAGAGAGCTGAAAAAAAGCTGCTGTGTGGCAAGCTCCCATACAATAGGAATGTGCAGTAGAAGTCAGTGATGTTTTTGCCTCTTGAATTAAATATTAGGGAATGCAATAAGTGGCTAGTCTGTGCTGGATGGCCAATCAGATGCTTGCTCAGTTCTGTGGCTGTTGAAAAATGCTCTCTATCCTTGGTGACATCCATAGGAAATACCTTCCAGAGCAAGAAAAGAATCTTTGTGATGTGTAAGCAAAGGTAGGGCTGGTGGCCTGGACACTTCCTTCCACCATCTCACTACAAGCAGCTGTGTGGTCTTGGTTGCCCAAATAATCTGGAGGCAACTGGGAAGCTTCCCACAAAGTTTTGCTGCTTTAATCTGTAAAAAAACAAGGTCCAGAAGAGCATAGTGTGGGCAGCAGCTAGCAGGCAATCTGGTCACCAGCATCTCAGACAGTGAGCGATCTTTCTGCAAAAATAAGCTTTTAAAAGGAGTGTGAAGTAGACCCCTTGCAAGGAGGATGACTGTAAGCACACAAGATGGCCCCAAATGGATTCTGACCTTGTTAGGGCACTATTATAAAAATAAATGGCATATTAAAAATCTGTACATGAAAAAGGTAGCCTGTACAATGAACAGTCCATCACAAAGGACAGGATGTTCCTTCTGTGGTACCTGTATCCTATACTGTAAGAATCTGTTCGGCACAGTATGCAGGCTCACGCTTATGCTACACGCTGTTTATTCACCTGTGAATAAGGTTCATTTACTACCACTGTCTTTCTGATAAATTGGAAAAACCCCCGTGAGCTCGGAAGGTGCACTTTTCCTGAAGGACCACTGAGTGTCACCATCGCTCCGTGGCTTGCTCTGCAAGATGCCGTTTCTCCAGGGACTAAACCTCCTTTTCTAAAACGGGCTGGAATGGGGGAAAAAAAATAATTCGAATGAAAATAGGCTGCTTCTTCCTTTTTCCCAGGGCTGGGAAGAACTGCACCTAAAACGTGAGCTATCTCCTCAATGAATTCTGCCTTATGTGTAGGCAAACATTTGACAGGTTTCCAGCCAGACCTCTAAGCCAGTCTTAAAATTTGCAACATGATCCTCAGTGACAATCATGGGACTGAACAAATGCTTTATCGGGAGACACTGAAAAGGTTGGGATCTCACCATTTGGGGAGCAGAATAGATATTGGCCAGGTGCACCTGCTTTCCCTGAAAGTATTAAGGGCAGCTGAACCTGATGGACTGAAAGGTCCGGTGACTTGCTTTTTTCCTGGGTCAGTGGAGGTGAGTGAGAGTTTACTTGTTTCACACCCTAACAGTAGAAGAATGTTGTGCAAGTCCACAAAAAAACAAGTACACATAGGTTAACGCTGACAGGAGACAATACTTCAGAGACACCCACATCAGTACAGTGTCACTGGCCTGATCCTGTCCCCTAAGGATGAGCACTCAGAGAAATGCATTTTCATAGGTCTCAGGTTTTTGGCCCTATAAAACTTTCATCCTACTTGCTGGCTAGACTGACCACATGCACAAAACAAAGAGCACAATAATACGGGAAACAATTAAAATAATTTATTAAAAATGTGATGCAGGCTCCGGTGATCAGATACAGCCCTTGCACAGACAAACATACTGATTGCATTTGACTGGCTTTGTTAATACCTGCCTTTTGTACGTTTGAACCACCTTGATCATACCATTTCCCTGCCTGTAATTTTTACCCCAAGCATACTAGTGCAGTTTTGAAAATCCTAAAATTCTCTTTATCGGTTCCAACATTCCCCCACAGCTGCTAACTACTCCCCCTCGTAAGTCCTAAAGCCTCTTTATTGCAGTATTCCCCCTACTCGTATTGCAGTAAACTGCCCTTCGTTTGCATACATTCCAGAGAGTTTCCTCCTTTGAATCCACTTCAGTGGGTTTTGCAAGTGAGACAAATGGCTTAGTCGTTCATCCAGTTGTTGGGGCATTTAGGCGTGGTTGATTCACAGGGATTACTGTTTGCTGGGTTTCCTGCCTTGTCATTGTTTCTTTGTTCCTTGTCTGAACTTTTGTTTTGAATAACCTTAAATATCTCCTTGAAAATCAGCCAGACAGTTTTCCATCTGAATTGAAAAAGAACCCTCAGCATTTAGAGCAAATATGTTTGGTAACAGCCCAAAGGCCCTCCTGTACCGGTGTGTTTTGCTGCTTTTTAGGCAGCAGCAAATATTATTCTCTGATTCTAAATCAGTGGGAATTGACTGCAATTCATTATGGGATTTTTTTCCTGTGAACTGATAGCCTAGCATTGTCGCTACAGAGCCAGGTGCAACTTTCTTGCAACATGAAGCTCAAAGATGCCGTTTTGCAGGAGTGTTTATGGTGCTTATAGCCTCAGTGGTGCTTGAGGTTCTGCACCTTGTAGATAGAGCATGACTCATTCCCGTTTGTCTCTTGCTACATCCCACTTGTCCTTGGTGCACGCGATGGCATTCTGAAAGGATTCTCACCAACCCTCACCAAGATGAGCCACTGGTCTGACCTGATGGGCATTTATTTTCCTAGAAACAGATATGCTGATCATAAAATAATAGAATGCTTTGGGTTGCAAGGGTCATTAAAGATCATCTGGTTCCAAACCAACAGGACGTGGGCAGAGACACCATCCACTAGACTGGGTTGATCAAAGTCCCATCCAGCCTGGACTTGAACACTTCCAGGGATGTGGCATACACAGCTTCTCTGGGCAACCTGTGCCAGTGCCTCACCATCCTCAGAGGGAAGAATTTCTTCCTAATAATTAATCTAAACCTGCTCTTCTTCATTTTGGAGCCATTGCCCCTTGTCCTGTCACTGCATGCATGCATACTTCCTCTCCACTTAGCATCTAAAGATGACAACATTACAGTTAAAAATTCATAAGTTTGCCATAATCAACCACTCATACCCTAAGCCAGGCAACTGACGGGCAACAAACTGATACTCCTTGAGAGTAATCAAGAGAAGCAAGGTGCAAGTGCTTGCACAGCGCAGCTTCTTTTCTAAAAGCTGCCAGCGAGCTCTGGCACTGTGGCTTTTTTATCCTGTTCATGCAGGTTTCCACTGTGCACCTCTACGTGTGTACACATGTAGAAGGCAGAAAACTTCCTGCTGTGTCCTGTTTGCTCGTCAAAGCTTGTTGCAAGTACCAACACAAACAGTTTACAACCTACATTCTTCTCCCAGGCAACTAGCAACAGGACGAGAGGACAGTCTTTAGCTGCTGTGCCAGGGGAGGTGTAGGCTGGACAACAGGAGGAATTTCTTCACAGAAAGCATGATTAGACATTGGAATGGGCTGCCCAGGGAGGTGATGGAGTCACCGTCCCTGGAGGTGTTTAAGGAAAGACTGGGTGTGGCACTCAGTGCCATGGTCTATTGCCATGGTGCTGTTCGGTCACAGGTTGGACTCGATGACCTCAGAGGTCTCTTCCAACCGAACTGATGCTGTGATACATGAAACGACTAACATTTAAGAAGGTTGACCAGTCGCCAGAAGGACGGACGGTAAAGTGAGACCCGGCAGAGGGGACAGCAGAGGGGACAGCCGCTCAGGCTGCGAAGCGCGCTGTGCGAGCGCCCGGGCTGTGACTCTCACCAGCACCGTGACTCCTGGGTGCCCGCCCCGCAGGCACAGCGAGCAGCGGGGCAGGGCCGGGCCTGGGTGGCAGCCCCGCAGGCACAGCGAGCAGCGGGGCAGGGCCGGGCCTGGGTGGCAGCCCCGCAGGCACAGCGAGCAGCGGGGCGGGCTCGGGGCAGGGCCGGGCGCCGCTCCCGCCGCTGCCGCCGCACCGCGTCCCGCCGGGCTCCGCTCCCGTCTCCCGGGCAACGGGCAAGCGGCGCCCGGGGAAGGCACCACGTGCCCGGAAGCGCCTCGAGGGAGGAAGTGACGGAGCGCCGGGGGAGCCCCAGAGGCCGAGATTTAAA